CATCTGGAAGGACCAAAGCTAACGAGATTCAGCACAGCAGATGCAAAGTCATACTTAAGTCTTCATTGACTTAATAACGAACATTGCTGCGTATTCATACCCTTCCAAAATTTTGTGTAAGCGATAACAACATATGCTTGTTAATAAATGTCTAATTTATAAAGTAATACTTCACTAACATCTATTCTATATAACAATTATTTATGAATGAAGATGTGATTTAGAACAAGAATGCCATACAGGATATTTAAATCCTCAATAATATCCAAATTGAATGTATAAAATGGTTAAATGCTGCTAAATGTTTGAAACAGAGATTGTATTTAAAGTAGATGCTTTAAAACTACAAAGAAAACTTTTTTTTTTATGTTTGCACTAGTGATATAAAAAAGGTTCGCCCATTATCTATAATCAACACATTAACTACTCTTCTTTAAAATCTATAGAATTACACATTAATATTTAATTTGGTCATTTTTTCCCCGAATATTTCTTCTCTGAACCCTAAAGGCAGAAAAATTCAACACAATGCTAGAGCATATAGTGACATGTCTAAATACTTTTTAAAAATGCAGCTTTTTTGATTTTCCTTTTGTTATAGCTACATTGTGTTGTGCAAGAACATACGTATATACTAATGTGTAGTTTTGTATCCCCTCCTCTTTAGTTATGTCCTGTAAGCTGTTAAATTTCTTGTTTGAATTGTACTTTTGATTAATCATAAATTAATTGGAAAAAAAGTCCAGTGCATGTGCTAAAAGATGGTTCTCAGGAGTAATTTCCCAAAAATGCATATTTTACCATAATCTATATGTGTGAATACAAAACAAATACTTGTTGCTGTTTTCTCAATAGTAAGTTTGCATTAACAGTGACAGGTGTCACCATTTTACCAATGTACTGACTAACCTGTGCTTTCCCAGTTCACCTATTTCTGCATGCTTGTAACCTGCACTCTCAAACTTTTATGTGCACTTTGACAAAATACACCCTTGCTATTTGGCTGCAGTGCAAGTATTGTGACCAGATCCAGATCTACAGTGAGAAGACTAATAGAAGGGGAAAGCAAATGCTGCATCCCCCATGTAGTCCTAGAGCTCCCTCTGCTGGAGAACAGCTCTAAACGTCAGGGAAGGTTATCAGTGTCAGAATGCCAGCCAATAAATTGCTTGAATTCAATAGATCTAACTGGAGGAGTTCAAAAAGTTGATGCTTTTTAAAACAGGGAGCGATAATAATTTTATTAAAGGACCAAAAATATATTACCCAAAAATATACTGGAAACAGCAATATTACTGGTAAACATATTGACTTAACACAGGGAATTGAATTGAGCTGTCCTCATGTGGGAATACACAAAGCAATAATTGAATTACTATCGATCAATTGATTGATAGATTGATAGAAAATCAAATAGATCTAATTATCATGGAAATGTTAAATGGGTGTTCCATGTTATAAAAATAAACATTTCATCCCAAGATCTAATGCATAAAGATCAGACCATCTCCAAATCTGCTGCTCTTGCTTATGGATCTGCAGTACCACAGACACTGGTGGAGAGTTTCCAGAGTTGTTCCTCATATAAACTGTGTCCTGCATTAGTGAGTCCCTGCTTCTGCCTTTCCATCATCAACATACAGCCACAGAAATGCTCCAAATTAGGGAGTGTGCAATTCCTTCCAATTTTCTAGTTGTGTGAAACAAAAGGTAACAGATCGTTAAGTTAAAGAATTGCATATCAACTAAGATGTGTATGATACTATACATGATTTACATAGCATTTATGTGCTTCTTATTTCTAATGCAGTACTTTGCCACTTACAATACAGCCAATTATAGAAACCGCCATTAACAGCATGTGACTGAACCACTAAAATATGTTGGTCATGAATGATGAGGATACTTATCTCTAAGGCTGAGTGTAGCCACCCTACAGAAGAATCTTTACACTCATGTGTCAACGTCCTTTTTCTTTCTGTTATTTATTACCATAGAAGAGGGTTGGAAAATAAAGAGTCTGGTAAAAACAGAGCTCTACTTGTTAGCATCACTGTTTCCTTACTTCAAGCCTTGAATAGCAACCACATTTTTGCAAATAAGGTTGACATGTTTATTTATCTACAGCAAGGGTGGGCACTTCCGGTGCCTGGGGGCTGGTATCCTGTAATTTTTAGATCCATCCTTGGTCCAACACACCTTTATCAAACGGATGAGTTGCTTCCTCAGTATACAGGCAGTTCTACCAGAGTCCTCTCAAACATCTCTTGATTCAGGTGTGTTGAACCAAAGGCACATCTAAACGTTGCAGGATACAACCCTCAGGAACTGGAATTGCCCACCCCACATCTACAGCCTCATCCTACTCTGAGGAAAGGCTTAGATCCGCTGTAAGAACCTGCAGAATGCAACTAAATATGCTACATAAAACCCATAGAGGCTAACTTTTTGCCCCTAATTGCATCACTGAGGCCTGATGACGCAGCTCAACCCCACCCGAATCTCACAGCTGAAATCCGTTATTTTGCTTTTTTGGTGAAATCTGAACAACTGTTGTAGTTTGGTGAAGGCATCTCACTCCATTGTAACAAGTTGCTGCTAAGTTGGGTGCATTGTTTTCTTTTTTAGGCCTTGCTCTGTACAAACCTTGGAAAGAGTGAGTCCTATTAAGTCTAGAGTGTAAACACTTAGACCTGCCCACTTGCTAATAAATGCCTTTCAAAGTCACTTAAATAATGTTTTCTTCTATACTCTGATCCTGTGATGAATGACATAAAGAGCCCTGTGTTTGGATTGGTAACCAGCAGTATTAACAAGCAATAAGAGGTATTCCAAAAAATCGGTTTGTGAGTAAAAATTTCAAACGTGCTTCATGTAGCAGGAATAGAAGATTCAAATATTGTTCAATATGTTGAAGCACAGGCATATCAGCTGGAATTATTTGCGTAACATATACCTAAAATAACATTAAATATATATAATGTATTTAAAATAGACTGATCTAAAAAAAAAATAGCAGCACATTGTGAAATATGTTTTTTAATGACAGCTGTTTTTTCTTTCTTAACCCTTTACAGGGCTAGTTAGTTTTTTTGGTAAAATTGCTTTTAATTGAATCTAGCCATTCAGTAAGGTCACTTATGTGGCAGTAAACTTCTTTTTAGTGAAAAAGTAAAAAACTTAAAAGGCCAAGTTAAAGATGAAAGTGCCTGTATTACTATTAATGTTCTTAAAACCTTTTCATAACATGAGGACCCAAATTTGGGCCCTCAGCATTGCCCCAAGATGGTTTTTAGACCTGTAACATATTCTCTGGGGTCTTGCCTTTATTTTGATACCAAAACAATTAAAATAAATTCTGTAGTTCTTGAGAAATATTCAATTCATTTTGGGCATGTTATTTTCAAGCATATTTCTCGGCCTAGTGTCCAAGAGGTTAAGTTATGTTGTTACTAAGAAGATGGGTTTCCATCACTGTGTTTTTTCATGTATTTATTATAGTAGCCCTTCTTTTAACAAATCAGGACAAGTGATTATTTTACCATCAAAATATATGTTTTAAATGTTACAAAGGTAGTTGTTAAATGTTACAAAGGACTTGTCTTGCTTCCAATAATACTCTTAGCTTGATTTATTTTTAAAGCATTTAACTGAGACATATAAAGGTTTAATTTGATTAAAGTTGAATAACGAACAATCTTCACCTTATAGAGAGACAAGCAGAAGCAGAGGAGCATTTATTGTGCATTATGACTTGTAAATAGTGTATAACAAACATTTCACATCACTCAGATGGAAAACCTGTTTATAAGTTTACAATGTTTAACTTCAGTAATAGTGACTTATTCAGGCAGGAAAAAAGGAATGATAAAATTATTTGTTCAAAAAAACTCCTAATTAAATGTGTAGCTATAGATTATAAAGTAGGGGAAACAAATTAATCCAAAAAATGTGTAATGTACAAAATGCAAAGTAATGTAACAAAACAAACAAACCCTCTGCAACTGAAAACCTATTTCTACATCCAGACTGACTTTAACTGGTCCCAGATCTGCTTTGGAGGAAGACAAAGAACGCTCTACAATTAACAAATGGAGTGTTTCAAAAGTTTCTCATTTTAAAACTTGATACCTGTACATTTTTTTTTCTAGCTATGACATATTTGGAAATGGAAAGTCTTTATGCATGATGGGATACACATAAGGAAAGGGGGAAAAGAAGTAGTAAGGAAAATAAGGGGGGAAAAAATGGCAATTTCAATAAGTCCTTTCAGTGCTTCAAAATATTTCCTTACACTTAAAACAGCAAATTAAATGTGATTATAGCCTCCTGAGATCCAAAACAAAAAAAGGTTTTGCCATTTACATTTTTTTAAGTATTGAACCCAAGGAAATCTATGGAAAACTTTTCTTAAAAGCTACAATATTTAGGTTTAAGTGGTTCAAGTATTTAAGAATGTGTTTTATATTTGAAATTCAAAGTATTTAAATTATCTGAATTCCTAAAATAATCCATTTATAAGTTTCATTCTAATCCTGCTGTTCTAGATGCCCTGTGACTGAGCAACCTAAAGTCAAATTTTATGCCATATGTTGAATTATCTGCTCTTATTTCCCAGGTACTGGGCTGACCTGTACTCAGTCCAGGTTTTAGAAGGAAAAATGTCATGCCCGACACTGTAAATGGTTTATTTCAGTGAGACTTTACATTAGCTAAAAGCTGATCATGCAGTCTCACAAACTAGCCTCTTTTTTTTTTTTTATTATACTTTGCTATGATGATGGGTAATGAAACTCTCTTTTTAATGACCATCTTTTGCTTTTGTCCTGAGGTTGTACTCTATGGACCCTGGATCAGAGCCATCAGAACCGCCACATGTTCAGCCACTGCAAATATTCATTATGGTCTAATGATATGATTCTGGATTTATAAAGGCAACATCTGAGGGTTTTCAGACAACCGTTAAGATGTGCCTCTACCTTCCTGTTGCCTTTTTTCCCCCATTATTTCTAATGAAAGCTTTTGTTACCAGAAAGCTATTTGTTTTGCTTCAAACACTCAGATAAGGTTTGTAAACCCATCAGCTACACATCCATTTTCCATTTACAGATGCCAATGTCAGTAAGTTATACAGTCCTAGAATACACATTTTTATATAATGGCTCCTCAGGCTTTTTACTTAGTTGCAGAGCAGACTGCTTAAAAGCTGTTGCCTTCTTCTGCCTCATTTTATGTATGATCCACGTCTCAGTAAAACCGTTGCTGCATCATACCTGAAGAAAAATGGTTCAAAATAATCACTAGGAACTCGTCCTCTACGACACACTGGATAAAACTTGCTTTGAGAGGATTAAAACTTTGTGAATTTCCTAAATTCTACTTCAGATATTCACATTAACAGGGAAATGTCATTATCAACAGAAGACAATTAAAATGTTACATGATTTAAACAAAATGTTAATGAGGGGATTTCCATCATCCTGGAAATATGGGCAGCATATTTCAAGATTTAACGGGCGCAACAAAGGCCCGATGCCAAACCGCCTCCCAAGCACGACCCCCTAACTATGAAGAGTCACTCATAATGAAGTCTCACTCGCAGCTTTGGAGGGTACCTTGATAGAAGGTGGGGAGAAAATGAAACCAGTATTTTCTTTGTCAACACTGTGACACCCCATGTGCATGCCAGTAGCTACTGTTGATATGACATCAAACATTTGCTCCCTTCGTAAAAATACATTTATGCTGTCAAATAAAACTCTTTCAAAGAGGACCTTCCCATTAGGGATTAATGACATCTTTTTGCTTTTTCCTAACTTGTGATTTTCTGTCAGTATGACGAAAATGCAAAAAAACCAGTGGATCTTAAAGAGGGCTAGTGCTTAGGGGCCGGTTTAGGATTGGGCCACAGAGAGCTCATATGGAGCTCGCTTGAAGATCTAAAAATCAATGCCCTCCACAGAGGACAAAAAAAAAATAAAAACATGTGGGTCTCAGGAGGATAGATATGAGACTGCAAGAACCTACAGCATGTTTATGTTATTTTATGGACAGGAAAATGAATACTTAAACACATAATGACCATAGACTTGTAAACGTTGCACATCATGAAAAGACAAAAAAAAAAAAAAAAAGAAAAAACACAAATCCCTGCTATGACTAATTTCAGATCTGTTCATCAGAAGATGCCGCTTGGCAGCTCCTTGTTAAACATGCCATCAAAGTCCAGCTCCCTGCTCATCAGTTCGTCCTCCACACTCTCCAGGGCCCACTGGTGGTCAGTCAGCTCCAGGGCCTCCCACTCTGCCTACAATCAAATAAAAATAAAACACATAAAAAAACAGCCATTTCTCATTAAAGGATCTCATTATCATGGCAGTATGCTGCATACTTTGAAAGCTTTATTTGTATCAGCAGGCATGGCCATGGCAGCACCACTCATTTGCTCCTGCATGATTCTTGATTGGTCGGCACCTGGAGGGAATTCAGTGGCAGGGGGGAATGACGAATAATGGCTTGGTATGCAAAAGGTAATGATGCACCATCAACTACACTTACCGTTATCTTGACCCAATATCAATGAGTACATGCTTCTCAGTCCAAAGACATTTAGGAAATACCATGAGGCTGAGCTCACCCTGAAAAGGAAAAGAAATTTAGGAAAGGACACAGTCACAAGATCACACAATTCTTCAAATGTGTTTTCTATTTATATCAGAGAGAATGTTGCAGTAAAAGTTTGGATATCTTGTTTTATTTCTTTACCAGGAGGCATCTAGTGAGAGGAGCTCTATTCCTTGCTGCAACATGGGCTTAAATCGCAGGGTGAGAGGAAAGGGAACCTTTGCTGCAAAAAGAAAACAACCATTAGATTAAAACTTAATTAGCCTTTAATTAGCCTTTGAAATATTAACTTATTAGCACAGAAGTCAATATGTTAGCTTTGAACAGAAACACTATTACTTGTTACAAATCCTGAAAAGGTCCAGTTGATCCAGCCGCCGATGAGGATCATGGGAAGCACGTTGGTCACGTTACCTTTCATCATGTCTGTAAGCATGCTGGGGTCTGTAATAACACAGGGGAATTAGTCTATTCCAACACTAATAAAAAATGTTAAAACCAATACTCCACATTCAAACTCTTCTACACTTAGTCTGTAGAAGAGTTTAATCCACGTTTTAACTTTCGCTTTAAGCAAAATTCAATTTCCAATCAAAACAGAAAATAACACTGATTAGGTTTTAGAGAAAGGGAGGCTAATAGAAACTAAAACTTGGAAAAACACTGTTTAAGGCCAACATCCCTTTTTCAATATTTATCGATCTTAATACCCTTTAAAATAGTTTAAGAAAGCCGATATGAGCATTTCACCACAAAATACTTTCTTTATAAGATGCACACAAAACCTTAATTTCACATCAGTCTATTAGCATTCCTTGTTTATAGTTTTAGTTTGATAACTTTAATAAAACAACAAATCAAAAGACATTTTTTGCTAATAAAGGCAATCAAATAATGTCACCACATCATAACTATTACATTTTTTTTAAATTAGATTCAAAACCAAAATTTGCACAAAATCATGACAACACCCCGCTACCCAGGTGCATTGATTAACGCCGCGGTTCTCAAAGTGTGTGGCGCGACCCACTGGTGGGGAATTGAGACGTGACAGGTGGGGCGCGCCAAGTTCCGGTGTGTGTGTGTGTGTGACTATAAATGTAGAACGTGTGAGAGCAAACTGTCCTTATAGCTGTATGTTGCCGCTTTTTAGACCAATCAAACCCACAAAGTAATCATTACTAGTCTACATGCAGTCTAATTAAAAGAACATTAGATATGAGAAAAATTTCACCTGGAACTGAAGTGCCAAAATAATGATTGACGTGACGTCGGCATATTATTTGTAACGGAATAAACTTTCGCGCCCCAGTGTTGCCAACTCAGCGACTTTGTCGCTATATTTCAGACCCCTCCAGCGACTCTTTATCAAAAAAGCGACTAGCGACAAATCGAGGGACTTTTGGAGACTCTTACGTGAAAGCACGTATCGTTCCTTTTCTTGTCCTCCAGCGGCAGGTGCTGCCGTGGGGCGCCTCCTCTGTCCCCACCCCGTTCTCCCCCGCTATCACAGAAGTCCCTCTCAGCGCTGCAGTCAGAGACACAGCATGCAGACTGCAAATAAAGCGCACATGCGCCGGGATTGACGGCGCAGGTTGATCATAAATAACTGAATTTGAAATATTTTATCTTATCCAATTTTTATCTTATTGGAGCCACCACAGTGATCCCATGTATTAAGCAGCACCTCTCTTCCCTGAGTGGATTGTTTCAAAAATAATTCCCAAACAACAGTGCTCAGTATGCCTGGGTTATTATGGATCCATTCAATGCAGCAGGTTGGTATTTTGACATTTTATTGAATATTATACTCATATATTATACATTAATTTATTTCTGTTGTATGCTACTAGCTGGAATGGATTGTTGTCAAACTGATTTCTTTGTGTTTATTATGCATTGAAAAATAAAGTAAGTCTATTTTTTTCTATTCTGTCTGCAGCACCTGCTGATTTTAGGTCTGCTGAGGAGGACCAGTTTATTGACATGATGTCTGACTCCACCCTGAGGCTCAGGTTTAATGCTCAGACTCATAGTGAATTCTGGTTTGGAGTGGAGAGGGAGTATCCCCTCATCGGGCAGAGAGCTGTGTGCATTCTTCTTCCCTTTGCCACATCATATCTCTGTGAGATGGGCTTTTCAGCTGTTGCTTCACTGAAAACAAAATACAGATCTCAGCTGAACATTGAGCATGACCTGAGAGTGGTAGTATCAAGCCTGCAACTCCGTTTTGAGAAACTGTGCAATGCGAAACAGGCTCATTGCAGCCACTAATGCAGGGATAAATAGACCTGTCTTGCCAGATGGATTTCACTTCTTTTCTTTTTTTAACAGATTGCAGATTGGCACTTTAATTTTTTTCTATCTTTGAGCTTAATACAAATTTTGACACAGCTGCATTTTTGTTTTCTTTATTTTTGAGCTTGCTGTTATTCGATGTAGATAGTTTGTATTTAGATACTACTTGTTACTTCAATAAAATTGGAACATTTTAAGATTGTTGCATATTTCATAAGCATTGTGTTGGGGCGATGGGGACAGGCGGGGCTTGAAAATTCCCCCTTGTCCAAAGTGGGGAATGACAGAAAAAGTTTGAGAACCACTGGATTAACGGGTGTACCTGTCATGGGAGACGGTGGAACAACCTTCCTTTTGGTCTTCTTAAAAAATCCATCCTCTTGATTGTTAAAGTAAAATTTCCTCATCAAAAAAGACTAAAACAAAGAGAGGCCGTTAGTAAAACTGATTTTAACACAACAGACATGCTAAAGAACAGCAAAGTGTTTAACATAAACCAGTTTTTTATTTTATTTACATTTTTCCATTTTTAATAGCAAACTAGTAGCAATTTTCTTCCAAAAACTCAACTCCAGCTGAAAAAACCATAAAATCAAAGTCTTTAAGATCATAACAAATTAAGTTATGATCTTAAAGACTTTGAAAAATTTATTTAAGCAGATAAAACACAAAAAATACATTCTTACTCTAAACCTGTACCTGACAAAGGGAACACAGTTATTCCGTTATTATTATTTTTGCTTTATAAAAATACAGGTCTCAGAACCCATTAAAACAACAGAAAGAATCCAAACACATTTTGACTCCATATAAGCAGACACTGATACAAAATTACAAGTGATAATACTTCAAGCTGACCATTTATAACGACTAAAGAAAGTGAATTATCAGGGTTTGGTATGACTTCACAGCAGTGGAAACCTAGTGATCCTATCACATAAACTCTGTTGATCAGTATGGTTTAAATACCTTTCAAGTGAGTGACATTTCAGCACGTTATCTAAAAACAGCTTTCAATGTCAATTAAAGCCCTATTTTCATGGGATTAATCTTATCTATTGACCACATGTGTTTTTTAATAATTGTGAAGATTGTTTGTGCTGTTATTCCTGTGAAAACCGACCATATCAGTCATTTTCAAAGTAAAAAATTTTCTGACAAATAACCTACTATATATATTGCTGAATCCCAGTTTCCGCGATAGTACCTATCGAATTTGAATAGGCATTTCTGTAAATTGGACAGTAATGGGAGGGGGGGGGGGGGGGGGTGATCTGAGGTCCCCTGGCCAGCAAAACCTTAATGCGTTTATATGAGATTATAAAGAAAAAGCTTGAAGAGAAGCAGCAATATCAGATGCAAATGGTGACTTTAACGCGACAAGATCTAAGAATTACAACAGATTTTTATAAACCATTCCACAGTCATTGATGGGGCAGTATTTAATCAAAACATACTGTACCTTCCCTATTATTTTACTCATTAACATTTATTACAATTCTTAGCCTCATAGACAGAGTAGTCAACAAACACAACTCTATCAAAATGACTGTGGCTCTGCTTTTTTTTTTTATAAACATTAAAAGGGCCCTTTGAATACTTTTTTGTTGCATCTTTTTACAATTCGGTTAATTCAGTCAAATGAAAGACATTTTTATTTTTTTGACACCAGGACAGAAGTGAAAAATTCAACACCAACAGTCACACACAAACGCGGACATCTGGTTACAAGTGGTTTCCATAATTTACAGCACCTCAGCTTAAGTAAACAAGTGTGTGCAGCAACACACAGCCCTCAGCTGGTTTTATGCAGTACGCAGTGCTTTAACATCATATCCATGAGATATATGTACATTTAAATTGTAAATTTAAGCAAAAAAAAGTATATGTAGTAGGGGTAATTAATTATTTACGTGGGGTCCCCATATAATCCTTAACTAATGCAAATAGAGTTTAAGTTAAAAAGACTATATAGATTATGCAGATGATCAGCCCAGAATCCAGCAAGTGTTTCTCTTTTTCATTTTTTTACTTCAGACATTTAAATAATTTAGAGCTGCACTCATAATAATGTGTTTAATAATGAAATGGAGGAAACAATCCTATATAATTATGAGAATTACAACAGATATTGTTAGGCATGTGGAATAGGCATTTCTGAAAATAAACAGAACCTGTAAAATAATTGGAATCTAGTCGTCCCAAAAAATGACTTGAGAGAATCGATTGATCACAGATTAAATTTATTTTCAGATGTCCAACAGCTGTTAACTATATATTTGTATTTACTGACATAAATAGCAGGACAATACTTTTCTTTGAGGAAAATCTAAATATTTAAACATATTTAGAAGACTTAAGACTTACCTGTTTAGGAATGTATTTTCCATTTTCTCTGAGAATTCTGCTTCGAATAAGAACCTGGCTGGATTTTTAAAGCACAAAAACAGAAATGAATGAAATCCAAATGAAGCTTTGTAATAATTGTGTACTCAGCCTTCTTACCTGTCTGAAACCTGCTCTAATGTCAACTTTTTGTCACTCTGTAGAAGAATAGACACATAATGCCGAATCACGCCGACAAGAAAGGTGATGAAGACAATAGGTAGAACCACCCAGAGTCTGATGTTGGAGTCTAACAGAAGCTCAGGTTCGGCCATTCTGTCTGCAGGATGACTGAAACAGGGTAGAATATACAGGCTGTCAGGGAGCGACAAAACTGACTGGTTAGCATTATGTGCTTTCTGATAACCTCTTAATTTAACCCGAAAGAAGACAATCAACCAGCATATGAACATCAGAGAGAAGCTACATCAGACTTCGTTAAAACAGACACTTAAAACAAGCTAACAGTATGCTAACGTTAGCTAGCAGGCTACCTGCTTCCTGATGTCCGTCACGGAGGGTGGGAACCACCAAGTCGGCCTGAAGAGGCGACCCCCACTTTGAATTTCAATCCCGCAAAGCTAAAGACACAACACATCCGATGTATGATATTAATAAATATAACAGGTACCTTTATAAACCGGCGTTAACTGCGCTAAAAGCAGCAACTGAGGAGAAGAACCAATTTCTTCTTCTGCCGCAGCCTGTCAACGGAATACCCCGTACCAGAACTGCAGCGCCACCCGGCGGTCATGGAGGCAAAGATACCCGTGTGGCTGCTTGAGAAATCTTTATGTTATGAGGAACACATGGTCTGAGGTGTGAAAAGTTCTTTATAGGTATAGATACCCGTGCAAAGGAAATACAACAACAACAACAACAACAACAACAAAAAGCCAATAAAAGTAAAAGTACCAGCTGAACTCCTTTACTTAAGTAAAGGTAAAAAGCACATTGTACTTATAGAAGTGTATGAAATGTTGGGTTAAATGATACAAAATCAAGTTGTTGGGTGATGTAATTATTTCTGGCGACCTGACACCTCTGCAAATAATTAAATGATAGATACAACTCTTTATCCTTAATAATAAATAATGTTGAAATACTTATTTCAACAATAAATTTAACATATACACACACCTAGTCTGAACAGGGCTTAGCATCTGCACAGATAGATTTGCAACGTTGATACTGGTGTTTAGAAAAAAAAAAGGCTTTTGAACTCAGTATTTTTAGATTCATATTTAAAACCTATTTTACTTTCTTTGTTTTCTGACTATACAGGAATGGAATTGACACAGAAGGGGGCAGCATTGAAAAAGGCAGCAGATTGTGAGGGCGAAATACCAGAGCAGGAGAGAAGGCTTAGTGTCACCTGCTGTGTCACAAGCAGTTCCCCATAGAGGAGGCTCTTCTGCGTCACCAGTGGCTCTCTGACCTCCACAAGGTGAGGATATCAAACAGCAGGAGATAAATGTGCAACAAACTATAAATATTCCGCTCGCTCCCATCTGTTCAAGACTTAAAGCTGGATTAGTGTATTTTTTCAGAAAACAGTGCTTCATATTCTTTTCTGCAATTCAACCCGTAAAACCTTCTTTCATTTTAGTAAAACCTAGAATCCAGAAATCTTCCAGGCAATCACCAACTCCTGTGGTATATGTGATAGTTAAGCTTCATATGTAGTTTGGATTTTGACCCTGCTTTGTTTCTGTCACCAAGTATCAAAGGAGGCTATGAATAGCCTGTAAAACATAGACCTAATGAGTCATAGCATCATGAATAAAGTGTTGCCAGCAGTGGGCTGACAGGAAGGCAAAAGTCTCTAAAAATGGCATTAAAATGTAAAATGTTTACACAATCAGTACTTACAGTGCTCTTTTACATTTTTTCTAAATATATGACACCTTTGACATTATCGTCTGTTGCTGTGCCCATGCTGTTTGTGTCCTCTAATAACTGTCTCCCACAGGTCTCATTAGGGTAAAAAGACACATGCCTGGGCTTTAAAGCAAGCTCATATGTCTTCCCATCCTAGGATCCCATCTGAGAGGCATGGATGGATGCTTTACTGAGACAGAGAGAGCAGTAGTTGAAAAATGACTCATGCTGATCTATTTCTCTGTTAGATAGATCTGTTCCTTCTATCATAACATTTCTTTATCCCCAAATGTAGGTAAAATTAGGATTTTGGATGAAGTATGGTTTATGGTTTGTGTAAATGTTGATTTCATTTCAATAACTGCCTTACCTTAAGGTAATAGAATGCAACTTAAAACTAGTAAAAGGAGGCTTCAGAATGGAAAAATTAGTTTTTTTTCTTGATTACTTCAAATTTAGTTGGGAAACAAATGCAACTCTGTCCCATCTGTTCATAACAACCTGAGTTGAAGTGCCACATCCCTTCATCTAAATACAGAGAAGATATAAATCCAAAGTTTTGCCGAGTGAAAGGTTAAAGACCGCTAACCAAATAGGAAATTCTGGTGATTGTTAAGACTCAGACACTAATCCTAACATCCACATAAAAGCTACAAATCCATGAAATTATTGGCAGAATAAATGGTTTCTTCTTAAAACAACGGCCATAAAAAATATTTTTTGCATCTATATTCATTGTGTTAGATTAATGTAATTTTAGCCAAAATCTTCTCTAAAAAAAAAAATAAATAAATAAATAAATAAATGAATAAATAAATAAATAATAAATCAGTCTTGAAACAGACTTTATAACACTGGTCTGTGGATGAGTTGGTGGTCGGATTTGAGCCAGGTAGATCCCTCAGGGTCATCTAAAACTTTATATAAAGTAAAGAAATAACTCTTAACTGTAAATACTTTTTAGTTTGTAATGTTTCTGATAAGTTGCACCATATAGGTATTATGTATGTAAATGGTGTTCTTCAGCAACTGAGGTGTGTATTTGCTTATCAATTTGAGGGTTGAGTTGCAGATAGAGGAGCATTAACAGGGGGCATTAATACCTGAACCTCCACTGATTGCTGTACATTAACATGTTTTAAGAATGACTCAGATTTCTAATTAATTAACATCCATGAACATCCTTTCTAAAGTCATTTCAGGTGTGTCTCTTTTCTTGCTAAGAAACCAAGGTCATTGTCTCCTTCAAATTTCTACATATAAGACATAATCAGAGGGTTGTCATACAGGTACGAAAGCATATTGCATTCATCAAAGAAAAAAATCTGATCAGTATCCCATAATTATGAGATCTTATCTCATAATGACGAGATAAGATCACATCATTATGAGATACCGATCTTATTATTATGAGATTCTGATCTCATTATTATTAGATCTTATCTCGTAATTACGAGATAAGATCTAATAATTATGAGATAGTGTGTCATATTTAGGAGATCAGGAAGGACAGTCATCGCATTGCTGAGCTACGCTACATGAAACAAAATAGTTTTTATGAGATATCTCGTAATTATGAGATCTTATCTTGTAATTTTGAGATCAGTAGCTCGTAATTATGAGATTTTATCTCGTAATTATGAGAAAAGATCACATAATTACAAGTTACTGATAATTATGAGATAAGCAGTGTGATTTTTTTTTTCCTTTGGTGAATGCAATACGCTTCCATACACATGCATTATTTCTAAATAATATTGTCAATAGTTATTAATTCACACGTTCTGTAGCTGTGCAGGTTAGTTCTTTTCATGATCTCATTTCTCATTTCATTAGTAAATATGTTACAGCAGCCGTTCAACTGTAAATAAACCAAAGTCAATCAGGGTTGAGGTATGTTAGAAAGAATGATGAGAAATCCTTCCCAGGTCACCTCTCGGTGGATGACAGTCCAGTGTTTTGTCATGGCAGCCTGAAATCTCTGATCTCCCACTTGATTAAAAATGCAAAACAGGATGTGTCGTGCACAACGCCTCACACAGACACCTGTGAACCTGGCTCTGGCTCAGCTTTCCGGAATTTGTGTCAGTTGACTAAGCTGTTTTGCACAATAGTTCAAAACTCAATAATATATAAAAAAAAGTTAAACTAACCTATTTTCTTTTATACTCTAAAGATATAGACATTGCCTGTGTAAAGTTCAGCTTACAAACACTCTCTGTATACTAGTATTCTGAAAGGTGGATCTTAAACAATTACTTAAGAACTGGTTGTTTTATGTGGAACAGATGTTATGCCCTTGCTTTTGGCATTAATCACCATGCAGTCATGGAGCTGCTTAGATGACCCAAAAAGCTGCTGTTGCCTTGCAGTGGTATTCTCTGTATTCTCTGCTTCTAATTCACCTTGTACATTGTAAAACGATAAAGCTGCTCTAAAGGAAATCCTGCATAGTTTTCTTTCATGTTTCAGTTAAAAGATTGTAAATTAACTAGAAAAAAGGAATTCTCATTTATTGCTTGTTTTACTTTTTTTTTTTTTTTTTTGGTACTGTCATCAGTTTTGAAGTTTAACTTTTTTCATAGAAGCCAAAAATAATGAACATTTGTTCTGAATTCCAAAAAAGAAAATTAAAAACAATCCACTGGACTTTGTTTCCAAGTTTGAAGACAAAGAGGTTCTTCAATTCAAAATGTCTGGAGTAGCGTTGGCTTTGAGGTTTGTCAAACTTGAGGTAGTGTTAGACTGAAATAACAACTGAAACAATTGTTGGTAAACTGATACAGAATCAGTTGGTTAGGATTCAATATTCCAAAGAGGACTGTTATGTCTTAAAGTAAATCATGATCATTTTTGCATGCTTGTATCCTGTTAGTCTAGTTTTATAAAGATCCGTAGGACCTTCAGTTCTCTTACATATTCTAATCTTTTTTACATTCTGATTGGATCATTTTTTTGTCATTCCACTTAGCATTTGCTCTTTGTGCTTAGTTGTGCTCCATTATTACCTTAGTTGTTTCCTGGTCTCAGGTTTTCATGTATTTTCTGTGTTATTTTATTTTAAGGCAGCAGCTTTTCTCCAGTGGTTATGGTTCAGGTCTTCCAGTTAATCAGACTCACCTGATCTTTGTTTTTCTAGTCACCCTCCTGTTTTCATCCATCTACCAGATTCTCCTTTTACAGCTATCGTTCCGTGTTTTTGCATGTCTATGATAATATATCTATATACATCAAATTGTTTATTTCATTATGTTTTTTGTCTGTTCTAAAACTGACATAGATGGGTAATTGTTCTGTGGAAACATACAGTTTTGTCCAGGACTTATTATCTAGTTGGGAAAAGCTGACATATTTGAAGGCAATCCTTTAAAATGTATTATTTCAATCATTTTGTTTAATGCATCAGCATGGGAGCAAAAAGACCCACAGCATCAGGCTACCACCACCATTCTTGATAGTTATGAACATAACCTTTGGTTTAAAACTCTTAACTTCTTCCATTTTATGGAAAAGTTTTTTTTCATTAAAACAGCCAGCGTTTCATGTGGGCAAATCACAGTCAAGGTTGAAAATCTTGTTTTTGTACTGGGAGATTTTTGTCTTCCAGTCACTTGTCCATTGGTGGTTCCTAAATTATTCCTGAACATTCTTACAAATTTCCTTTCATGTAAGGCTAACATTTTGTGTCAGCTGGTCAAAGTATGAGCTCATTTGGATGTTTCAGCTCACAATAATCCAAAACATACATCAGAACTGTACTTGAAATGAATAAAAAGGCCAAATTAAGCTCAAATAGTTGTCTTTTCAAAGTCCTGACAAACAGCCTAATTGATATTGAAGACTATATTTTTAAAAGAGGAGTCCATGCAGGTAAATCAGCCAGTTTAAATTAACTCCACAATTTAGCCAAAAAACTTTTTTCGAAGATACAACAATTACAAGAAGTTTTGCAAACTACTTGTGATCTTTACATTGTTGTTTTATTCCTCTCTTGTGGGTGCACTCATTGACCCTTAGAACATACTGTACAATGTTGTTTCTCTGTTACCAAAATGTTTGTGTTTCTTTCCTTCCTCAGGGATCAAAAAGGAAATACATCTAAGACTAAACTCAGAATAAAAACATTTCAAACAGAGGAACATGCACTTTAGGAGAGTCGCTTAAACCTTCAGGCCAGCTGTCCAAACAGAGATCAACTGAATCCAATATGCAAGCAACTTCACATCTGCACATTCATTTAGAAAGGATTTAGATTTATTATTAAACTTTAACATTAATAAAATGAGGTATTCTGCTTTATTATCTGTTATATTAGTATTCTGAATACCTTTCATAATGGTACCCTTAGGAGGATTTCAAGGAATTTGAATTAACAAAGTTTTATAGAAATGACAAAAAAATATGGTAAAATTTTTTTTTTTACTATTATAATTAAGCTGGCACTTATTTGTCCGACATGCAGAGTTAATGGTGATTAGCGTTTTTTTCAATATAGGTCAGACTGTGTCATTGTGTCACATTCTCTTTATTTGCAAAACTACATGTTCTGCAGACTGATGTCTGCACCAAGTAATCTCTTAACTAAGAAGATATGCAAAGACACAATACATATAAGAAAGCATAGAGAGATTGTATAACTGTCATCTAGCAGATTATAGAGTTCGATGTTAGATCTTTTATCTCTTTTATTTGAACTGGTTTGATTTCTGAACGTGTAATTTATGCAACATGTTATCCTATTCTTGTTTGTACATATTCAACATGAACCAACCTAGAAAAGCTTCTACCCTGAAAACCAAGTGGTAAAAGTGGCAGATTATTGATTTTTTTCAGTGGCAGAGAAGTAAAAAGCATGCTCTGATTTTTTTTGTTGTATTATGCCACATTTAGGTTTGTTATGTTTGTCCTTTTTCCTAAAGTTCTGTGGCAGAAGAGGACTTTATTTTACAGTAGATAAACAGGAAAGGTGCAGAGAAAGAAAAAGGAAAGACATGCATTAAAGGGTCTCAAGGTCAGGACTTGAACCTTGGACCACCGCATTAGGGACTAAGTTCTGCATATATTCAGAATCAGAATCGGGTTTATTGCCATTGTTAGTGAAGGAGTTCACAAACTAGGAATTTTTTGTGGTACAATCGTGCAACATGAAACATATAATATGGAATAGGTAAATAAAATTATAAAAATATCGAAAACACTGTGGGTATAAGGCATGCAATAAAATAGACTAATATATATACACTTAAGATAAAAATATGGATATAAAATATAAAAAGTATAATAGCATCTTACAAGGAGTGCAAATAGAGCAGTGTGCAAATAGAGCAGTGTAAATGACATGTGCAGGTTATAGAGTCTGACATATAGTTAGGTGTTCATGAGTCTTATGGCAGAGGGGAAGAAGCTGTTTTTATGGCAGGAGGTTCTGGTCCGTGTGGACGGTCATGCATGGTACCTCCACTCTATGCACAGGACTGTTTTTTAGGATTTTCTAGTTTAGATATCTTGTTGTGGTGTTTATAGTCTATCTGCTGAAGAACGTTTAATAACTCTTTGGATGATAACAAACATGTTTGGATATTTATTTTGTTCAAGGTGCTAGAATGGGTTTTTAAAAAGTAATTATATCCCATAATTCACACACAGAAACTTGTTTCATCCTTTTCTCTCATTTTTTTTCCCTCTATTTAATGGATCCAATAAAAGTTTGTCTAACAAAACTCCAGTTCTGTCTTCTGTCTGATATTTTATTAGCATGCCCCTCAAGCTGTGTTTAAATCACGCCTATTCTTGGGGTGCATGGCCTACAAACCTGGTAGAGCTGCAATAAATACCTTTATAAAAAAAAAAAAAAAAAGATAAAACCAAGTGCATTCTAGATGCACTAGAAACTCTGTGAGGGAATAAATTAAAAATTTTAATTTGGTATTGGACTCTCTACTTTACAAGCAAACATCTTATTATGAATGATTCAGATGCAATTCTGATATTAAAGCATCTTAATAGAAATCTCTCTAATAGATTTGTATGTCAGCATTTAATTTAAGCCCTAATGCAATGCACTTCACAGACAGCAGCAAGAATACATTTGCTAATAAAGTACCAGATTTTTGCACACTGCTTGCAGAATTTTCAAATAGGAGACATGCTGATATTATCATGTATACAGTAGTAGTGCAGTATGTTATTGCAAGGTAGTATCTACATTTGAATGATGAAAGTAGATGCACATCCTCAAATTAGGAATGCTGGATTACAGGATCAAAGTCATTAAACCTAGAAGCATTTTTAAAAGCAAATCAAATGTAAAAACATACTTAAAAAAAAAAACATACCAAAGGCTTAAGTGTTCTAGCCTGAACCCTTTTACACAATAACCTTCTTCTTAGTTTTGGGCCCTGATGTTTCATATCCTCCCTGGAACAGCCGGACTGCTCCTTGAGGGAATTCCTCCCGCAGAGGGGAGTAATGTTCAGAGTTTTTTTGTCTTTGTCCTGCATGTGTTGGTGTCTGCTACAGTAAAGCCTCTTTGATGGTAAAAGAGGACGGCGGGCAGGTGGCCCAAGTATGTGTTTGTATCTGTAGGAAAGTGGACATGTTGTGAACTCTTTCTCTACAAACTTTCTGAAATGACTGAAGTCTGGACAGAATAACAAACAGCGACTCTATTATATGGCAGATGTCTCCTCTTGATAGACGCTACTGTAACTCTTTGATTGTTCAAGCTGACTGAGTCATTATGTAACATTTACACCAACTGTAAAGGTTTATTCCCATGATGCTGTATAAGTAAAACTGACTGAAATGAGTCTTAGATTCATCTAAGGTGCAAAATACGACTGAATTCTCCAATAAAGTCCATCAAAAAATGCATTTAATTGAAGAAATCAAAATATTTTATTCAAATGAGGAACAGATCCATTACGGGCGATATAACCTTAAATGAAAACTTCTTAACTTTTGCAATCAGTTTTAGACTGCACAAGGTTACATATTACTTCATGCATTATCTTTCTAAACTTTGTAAATGTAATAAAACAATGCTGAAAATATGTTGAAATTATTTTTTTCTGTATACAGTATCTTCTTGGTCACATTCTTAAATTTCTGCTTCAATCCTTTCTCTTTTCTGCTTCAATATGCATGGAAAAACTCCCTGTTTGTGTACCAGTTAACTTCGCAGTTAGTCTGAATGTGTTATTTTTTAACATGTATGATTCATTTCTGAGGATAGCAGAAAGTCATTAAATAAACAAGGTGCTCTAGGCAATTGCATCTTTATGATCAAATTTTCTGGTCTGATTCTGCCAATGGAGGAAGTGGCTTAGCTATTTTTCCTAAAATACACTAATTGCATTTCTTATAATGATAAAAAAAAAAATCTTAAAATCTTAATCTTATTCTGGAATTTCAACTGACCCATTATCATTACCTGTAACTCGTAAAAAGAGGCTTATGTTCTTGTGCAGAACTTACGTGTTAAGAATTGTCTTTTTTAGACAAAAAAAAAAGAAAATGTCCATGAATTGTTATAGTCTTTGGGTTTTGCTGTTTCTGGTGTGAGGGAGGTCATCACTGCTTGTGGCTGTGCAAACCTGCTGCACACCTGAGAACATTTGTCAATGATGATGATTACTTCTGATGGTATTCCAGCAAAATACCTAAACCAGGAATATACAGTATGTCTTGTTAACAGTTGTCTTGCTGTGAATCTCTTTTAATGAGGGCTGCTACTTTTCCAGAGAACCAGTGAACCTCAGTTCGTCTCTGATCTTCATGGAAAAGGTCTTACCTGTGTGCAGCCGTTCTCCGTCTTCATCACCTGCCTGCCCGTTCTCGGAAACATCTCTTGCAAGTACCAACGCTCTTGGATCTCACTCACTTTCTCATGGACCTTTGCGGTACAGTCTGCGAAGCCTGCTGAATCAAACCCCTACAGATCTATGCTACCTCCCCTTCATCTCTCTAGTAGGGAAATCAATCAATCATTAGTTGTCATCAACCAACTCCTTCCTTATCAGTCTGCTTTCTCCCCTCAGATCAATAAGAAAGTTCAACAGATTTCCTGCAGTTCTGTTTCCAGATTCTTTTTGCTGTTGAAAAACAAAGAAAAAAAAACTTTAAATAGAGTTGTTCTTCTAAACGTGTGATTCTGCATGTGGACAAAAAACAAAGTACAAACCAAATTGACATAAAATTGTTTTTTTTTTTACTATTTTGAGTTCATTTTATTTTATTATTATTTTATTTTATCCTTGAAATCAAAAAGTTTCCCTCTTCCAATGGCTGAAAGGACAAAATATGCATATTTTTAAGTAGTATATTTGCAGTAATCTTAGAACTGGTGTGAAATGATCAATTTTTTTGGTGTTGGTTTGGACTCTGGCAGCATCATTAATTACTTCTGTTTACTCTGCAGGTATGTAGACTAAAATGAAACCATGGATAATTTTTCTGCATCTTTTTGAAACCCTTCAGTTTGCCATTTTTCTAGATATTAAAGTGATTTAGTAAATGTACTGCTAAATAATGAATGCATGGGTTAGCAATTTCTTTTTACGTGTTATGGTCCATATTTTACTTGTATTAGACTAACTTGAAATGTACTAATGGATTTTACCATGTTATTTAACAAATACACGCTAAATGATACCTGAAGCTGCAGCACAGTTTAAATTATGGCCAAAATCTACCCTTCATAAGTGTAAATTATAGTTCCACTTAACCTCAAGGACAAATAACAAACTTCCTCTGCCCCTCTGAGAAGATTCACTGAAACCAGTTTTCAGGTAATTACATAACCACATCATTTCCATGGTGCTGCTATTTATTGCTCATCCATGGATGGACCATATCGCAGTGATAATCACTTGGTGACTGCCATCCACTCCCTGTATGATGAATGCCAGCAGATTGACCTTAATTGACTGAGCGCATTGTCATCCAGCAGCATTCAACAAAATCTACTGAAAGGGTTTAGTGGTCTGTTGCAGGATCTTTTCTTCCTGTTGCTCCCAATTATCCATGGTGGGGGCCTCGGCTCTGTGTGGAGGATCAACAGAGGCACACAAATCAAGCTGTAGACTTGTGAGAGAAGCGCCTCGGAATCTAATATATGTCCCAAACATTCAATATGACTGATTTTTTTCTTATGCTGGAGAAGAATTACCATCAAACGTTCATAATCTACTTCAGAAAATACTTGGGTTAAGCTTTTTCACTGTTACATACTTGCTTGACCTCTGTGAGGTCACCATTGTTTAGAATCCAAAGCTTTTCAGAGGGTTGCTCTACTTTTTGCAGAATGTGGCACAGTGTGTGACCTTTGTTCAAAATAGTCTTGATGCTCTTTACTGATACTTTTACCCAAAAACAGATCTCTTGAAAAATCATGCTATTATTAAAATACACAGGTCAATTAACAATTCTCAAAGATCACAATTTTATATTTCTCACTTTCTTTTCTAGCCTAAATAATAGCCACAAAAAAGACTACTTGAATTGTTAGAACCACTAAAATACTCAGGGATCCTTATGTGTGATAATCATTTGAATTAGCATGAATTGCATTTTGAAAATACACTTAAAGGATAAAACTGAAACTTGCATGTGAGGATTAAAGGCTTTTAGAGTGGTTCTTTTATGTTCCAGTGTTCTGGTATTAACACACAGTAGTACAAAGCTTGAGTTAATTATGGAAATGTAAATACCGAAAGGAACATTGTTTTGAACCAAAAAGAGCTTTCATGATGAAAAGGTAAAAGTGAGTATTGTTTTTGCCAAGGAAAGGACACACCCAGACTCCTTTTATAGAAGACAACAATGGTTGCAGACATAAACTAACAGAAAGGCCCAGGTTCTGAAACCATCCTACTATGATTGGTTAAATTACAAAAGAATTAATAAATTGCAAACCCTTTTAGAAATAAAAAAACTGATTAAACATTTATTTTTTTGCCAACTAGTGACCTGTCCAGAGTATCCCCCCTTTGAACCCACTGCCCACTAGACATGGACACCAGATCCCCCTTGACCCCTCATGAAAAAACTGGTTTAAACAATGGATGGATGGATGTTTTCTTTTTGGAAATGAGTCTCAGGCATAGACCTGCACGGTTCTGGTTTTTCAAAACTGTATCCGCTCGCACCCGTAGAGTTCAGAACCAAAACCCAACCCATTACCCACAATTATCCCCATTTAAAACTGACCGGGACCACACAGACCCTTAATTAATAAAGCGCGACTCGACCCGTGATCACAAAGTTCACACACAGCCATTTATAATAACAGAGCCAGTAAAGATCATTTGGCAGGTTTTTTTTTCCAGTTGATAGGGAGCAGGTTAGATTTAGTATTGTACACATTCAAATCAGTTTATCTATAAAGCGCCAATTCACAAAGCATGTAATCTCAAGGCACTTTACTATTCATCCAGATCATACAGTCAATTTGATTCAAAGTTTTCTATCTAAGGAAAACCAGTTAAGCATGCTTGTAGCGACAGTGGAGAGGAAAAACTCCCTTCTTGCAGGAAGAAACCTCCAACAGAACCAGGCTCAGTGTGAGCGGCCATCTGCAGAGGCCATCTGGGGTTCAAAGAGATGCAGAAAGAAGCAGAGATACAAAAGGTAACTGTCAACCAGCTCGACAGACGGCCCCGTCCAGGAAGCAAACAGCCAGGCAAAAAAGTTTAGAGCCAGCTCCTATGTCAGGGGATGAAGAAACACATCCAGCCAGTCACAGTCAGAGAAACAGGACTACACTGACAAACAGGCAGAGCTCGAATATCTATAAACAAAGGTGTTGATGGCAGCAGCACAGCTGATATTTCTCTCCAGAATGGTGTCACAGCCAAACAGGAATAGACCAGATGAAGCCACTATGAGAAAAAGCAGAGAGTTAGAGATTGAACTAACACATTCTGCAGATGAATGTTGAAAAGGGGGTCCCTATGTCCTCCAGTAGTCTAAGCCTATAGCAGCATAAGTATAGAGATAGCTCAGGATAACCTGAGCAACTCTGACTTAAAGCTTTATTAAAAAGGAATTTTTTTATCCTAACCTTAAAAGTAGACAACGTGTCTGCCTCACTGACTAAAACTGCTAGTTGGTTCAGCAGGATTGGAGCCTGATAATACTTTTAGAAATTCTAGGAACCACTAGTAAACCTGCAGATTTAGAGTGAAGTACCCTGATAGGGACATAAGCTACAATCAAATCTCTGATGTAAGGTGGAGCTTGGCCATTTAAGGCTTTATATGTGAGGATTTTAAATTCTATTCTGGATTTAACAGCAAGCCAATGAATATAACCTAGGATAGGAGATATACTATATCATCTCTCTTTTTAATTTTCATCAGAACTCTGGCTGCAGCATTTTGGATCAGCTGATACTTTTAACTAAAGTTTTTTGGACTTCCACATAGTAGTATTTTAATGTTTTATTTAGGCCTTGATTTTATTTAAACTGTATTTGATTTATAGCAACCTGCACTAATCAAACCTCAGTTGAATAATTCAGTTGAATCAAGTGAAAAAAAATCAAGAAAATTTCTCAAAATATATATTATTCAGGCACAACTGCCAAATGTAAAGCACAGTTTGGGTTTCCAATGCCTATACTGTACCTGAAAAAAATAAAATAAAATAAATGAAGATCATTACTTTTCTTATATATATATTTTTAAAAAGTATGTAATACTACCAAATATTGTATTAAGATCTTGGGCACAGAAGCAGAGTCTCCCTCACGGTTACATTAATCCAAAAATAAACACTTGTTTTAGTTTTAATAGGATTTATTGTACAGTACACAACTGAGCTTCAAATTTTTATTGAAAAGGCTAATAAATGGAAGACCAACAAATGATCTGGACAAGCTGACAGTGAAGTTGAGGGCTGATAAGGAATAATTAGTCAAATCAGCTCTTCCTACTTGATGTTGAATGTTAAAGTAATTTCACTATAACATAACAAAGAAGATCTTGATTGTCACAGCTACTGCTAAAAATCAGGCACTGAAAAAGAATCTTGTTTTAAGTATAAGTTTTAATATTGTCTGTTTGTTGAGTGAGAAGAACGGGCAGCAGTCATTAAGAAAAAGGAGCAGGAGATGGAGGAAAACAGAAAAAATAACCAACCTGCTAAGGCTCATTAATCTGAGCTGAGGCTGATAGTGCGCATGCGGTCAAAACGATAGCTAACTGAATAAGCACATAGAATGGCCTCATGTAAACATATCAGCAGACTGATTGATGATTAGGAGGATCATTATTTTGATGATCGAAATATCATCCTCTATACCTTTAAGGTTAGAAATTTAGTGCTGAACTTAAAAGTTTTGTAAATTGCTGTTTCAACAGAATCACCTGCACCACAATTAGTTGTGTCACCAACAAACTCTACTAAAAATGTGACTAAAGCATAAAGTTACATTTAGTTTACCTCTGCTTTAATTAATTAGTTGTTGTAAAACCTTTAATGAGCAATCTAGTGATTTGAGTCAGAGTTCAATTGTATCCTAATATCTAAGTATGATACCTTTGGGATATTTTTAACAGTTATATCGAATTTTGATTGATAGCTTGACTCAAGTCACAGATGTGAAGACATGAGACTTGACCTGGTTGGGTTAGAGCAGACTTCTGACATGACTTTGACTGGAACAAGTTTATTTGAAATGAATAGATGCTTATATTAAAGTTAAAAGTACATCCAAAATAAAAGAATAGAATATTAATCTGCATCATTTGTTAAATGAATGATTAAGAGATAGCTTATTATGGTTTGTTAATTACATTAAGTTAAATCCAAAGAACTTGGACCTGACTTGGAACATGTTAGTCTTGATTTTCGAGTTGGCTATAAAAAGATAAGAGTTACTTTTGACTTGGAAAGTAATAACTTGATCCCACACTTGGAAAATGTATTAGGTACACATTTTTTTCTTTTACTTGGATGGACTCCTTTATGCAATTACAACTTTTCATAGTTCTTCGATATTGAGCAAGCTGCTCTAAACGTTCCTCAGAGAATTCGGTCCATTTTGAAGATAATCTCTCATTCCATCACATCCTGAAGGCGATCTGTGAAAATAGGATCTGGTGAATGTGGAGAGAATTGGAACACATTGAAACCATTGTAAGTTTGAAATGATTATGCTATGTGATGTGGTGCATTAGCCAGTTGGATGCAGTCATTAAGGCGCATCATTGTCATAAAGGGATAAATATGGTTTACAACAAAAACACACATAGGTCCTTATCTCTAAGTTACAACTCTCTGTGTTTAAATTAACTATTTCTCAACATTAACATCACCACAAACCTGAATCACTAGACACAAGGCAACATGAATTTAACTTTTGATGTTGTTTATGCCAAATTCTCCCCGTATTTGAAGGTTGCAGAATAATGTTTTCACAACATCTTTTCAATATAGCATTTTCCAATTTTGGTAATCTATGTGAACTTTAGTCCTGATTTCCTGTTCATAGTTTACAGGAGTGGTCCCCAGCAGGGAAGTGGATTACTGTGGTAAATCTGTTTTGTTCCATATCTAGACATGGTATTCTGCATACTTTGGTTGAAATAAGTGCTTAGCTGATCTACTACTGCCTTTCTACCATCTCCAACCAGCCTTTCCTCATCTCACCTCAGACATCAATAGAGGCATTACAATGCCATCAACCAGTGAGAGGGGCATATGGTACTTAGGCCCTCAGTGGGCACCCCTCAACTTAATCTACTTTTTATCCCTTGATATCCAAATATGTGTATATGTACACATTTGGATGTCAATTTGCAACAATTGGTGTCAAACTTTCACATTTTGATAATAACACCAATAGTCTTCAAATATGAAATGTAACAAGCTCAGGTACAACTGAGGGGGAGATTGTTGTTAGGGTGAATACAGAGCTCAACTAAGCAAGAAGTCCACTTAAAACAACCACAATCCTC